CATTCCCTATCATTTTCGTGGTATTTATGAAAATTCTGCATTTAGCAATCACAAGAAAACAAAGAAAACTCGAAGTAACCCCAATTCCCATTTTCCAAATCGAAGTCGTTCATCGAATCTTGAATTCTTTGTCCACGCATAATCGGCATATCGACCAACCTCGGAGACCCATTTTCACCGAAGAATATGGAAGAAAACGTGGAAGATTATTTCGAATTAAAGATTCCGTGCGCATTATCGAGGAGAAAAAGAATAATCAATAGCGTAGAGTGAAAATCGAGCAAGGCGAACGCACATGGATCAATGGGTGAGTTGGACGAAAAGAAAGAGAGGTAGATGGCGCGCGGAGCTCAAAAGGGTTCAGGGTGTAACGGTCCATTATTTGTTTTAGATATTAATGTTCCCCGTGGACGATCAATAATTTACATCGGACGTAATCGCACGGTGTGCATCCTCTATCTCTAGCGCAGAACCCGTTGAAAGAGAGACGGAGCACGCGGGAGAGAGCAGGACAGAGGTACTCGAAGAGAAAGGAGACCCGTGTAAACAATAAATCACGATAAATACGTTTGCCTGGACCATTATAAAAGCATGGCCGAGAGAGGGAGGGGAGGAATCGGTGCGATCGGCGAACAAGGTGAGGCCCAGCCAGCCAAAGCTGGTGAACCGAGAGTTCACCGATATGCAGTCCCACCCTGGGGCCACTCCCGATGCAGCCTCTCCTCTACGGCCGCGCATTACGATCGCTTAAGTCTCGACTCGACTATCGAGTGATCCATCGCCTACGAATTCGACGAAGCCTCCCGCCTACCCTCGGGACATCCTCGACTAATGAGCGTGTCTCGATCGTGAACCACTAGGCCCTCTCTCTCTCTAGACCGCTATCTGCTGCCTCTTCGCTCCTCCCGTTACCTCCTTTCGTCCTTTCGCCTCTCTCTCTCTAACCTCTTCGATTCCTTTCTTCGTCTCGCTCTTTCTAGCTCTCCTCTGTCCTTCTTCTTTCACCTTTTTCTTCTCGCTGCTCTCTTATTTCCCTCGGTTCTTTGCTCGCTCTAGCCATCCACGCTTCCAGGTGTGTTCAGCGCGTTTCTGTTCAAACTGGATTCCAATTAAGAGGCCCAATGAGCTCGTGCTCCTATTCACGGCCGCTTGTCTGGCTGGATATATCGGAGACGACAGGTGGACACGACACAAAATTGGGAAAAGGAATTCTCAAGATGCCTGGCAGTTGCCGATCCTCTACAAGTCGCTTTTCCGTGGCCGATCGTCAGAGGAATAAAGGGATTGATCATTTATTGGGTAAGAATTGATTTCTTCCGCTACGAGTCTGGCACCTCGAGCTTCAAGTATTGACTCTGGGTTGGACTGACATTATTATGCTTAATATTTGTTAATATATGGAACCGACTAAAGCGGGGTAATACTATGATTCGATGAAGTTCTCTTAGAATTCCGTTAGCGACTAGGTAAATTCATCGTTACACTTGTGTATTCAAAATTGAAATGTTTTATAACGGAACAACATTCTTCATACACTGTTCAATATTTTTTCTCTTTGTTCTGAAGTTTACAAATGATTTTACGATTATAGAGAATGAGATATAAATTATCGTCGTACAAAAGATGGAAATAATAAAAACGTCGTAATTGTATAATTATATTATCGAATTTATGCTATCTACTTAAATGAGTGTAAATTGTATGTAACCGACACACTTAAAGAGTCAAACTTCAAAAATATGTCGAAAATAAATCGGAGTTGCCAACCTACAGTGTCAATATGTTGGAACTGAAAGGGTTAATAAACACCAATGAGTATATAGCTTTTAGAAATTATTTGTCCAACTGTTATTTATCATCTTGTTGGTGTTTTGGTTGGAGATGTACCTTTCTGTAAGGTTTAATTTATTCTTCTGTCTTCACCTCATTAAGTATTCGTGTAGGTATCCTCAAAACATAAGAATGTGGTAAAGATGAACAAGGTTGCCCGGCCGTAGAGACTCTCGAGGCAGTATCTCTAAATAAATCTCATTGTACGATTGATCAAACCCACGCTTCTCCTCGAATTCTCGCAACAGTGTTTTCAGACCCTGTTACGTGATCAGAGTCTACCGATTTACAATTCGGTCGTCTGCTTCGCATCCTCTTACCCTGTCCAATTATTTCATTTAAATAAATTATCCAATTACCAAGAAGAAAGATCTCACTGCTGAAGGCCAGAACTTGTTCTATGAAGTCCAACGGAACAAACAAACGGACAAGAGATCAATTCTAAGAGAAAATAAAAAAATTCAAATTAAAACCTCTATAGTATGCCCCTATTTAAATACAATATTCAAGCAACATAGCGAGATGTCAACCCTCGACTGGCACTATTGCTCACACATCGCCACAGCAGCGTGTGTCATTCAACCTCGCTTGAAATTCCAATTTCGAATAGTCAAATTTCAAAGTTAATCTGTGTCGTACAATCTGTATGAGAATTTGAAGATCTCCAAGTGAATTAATTTCCATTTCCATTCGAATTTCGAGCGCACCAGTGCCCAACCGAATCTGCCAATCGCGACACGGATAGAGCCACGCGTCCCTGCCCCAATGCTACCCAAACCAACCATTGAAACCAGCATCTTTCGCCACAAAGCGGAACACAGTGTCTATTATACCTATCATTTATGAAAACCGAAGCTTCCGAGCCGCTTCTATAAATATCCATCGCGGAATTCGATCGGCGAGATATTCCCCGATCCATCGGTTCCCATTGGATCGCGAGGTGGATCGCATAAACAGGATGTCTGCGGTAGACGTGCAATAGTTACTAGATAGGCGGGAAAAGCGTGGTAGTTCGAGTGCATTCCTGAGGATCCGTATACTCACCTATGCCACCAATGTGTGCTTAGTACGTGGCGGAGCGATGCAGCGCGAACAGGAGAAAGAGAGAGAGAGAGAGGGAGTGAGAGAAGGCCGGGAAGGTAGATACCGGGCCCCGCGGGGGGCTCATAATTGCCGACCCTGAAGATCGGCCGACCCCATGGGGCCCTCCTCTGTTTGTTTTATTCCCTAGTTATACAAACGCGAGATCTACGACCGATATATGATAATCGGCCTCTAGTTCTCTCTCGGGGCCCACTCTCTCGCTTCTCGTTTTCCTTATCTCTCCGACTCTTTTCCTCTCTTTTTGTCTCGTTTTATCCCCTCCTTTTTCTCCTCGTTCCACTTCTTCCCCTCGTCTTTTTCCTTCCCTTTCTCGATTTTTGCCCGCCCGGATGACCACCGTCGCGGAACGTGACTACATTATGCACGCTGATAGACAGGGACACGTCCGAACCAATTCCAACTACAACCACGGCCGAGTATCGTTGGAAGCTTTCGCCACGTCTCATCATTTACGATTCGCATTTATTCAAATTCCTCGCTGCAACCTATGATTAATACCCTTTGTCGCGGTCCAACAGTGGCCTGACTCGTCGCTGAGTTCCGATACAGGCGAAGCTTGTTCGCGGAGAAATTTTTCGAGTGGTCCAGTCGACACCACCGCGAACATGCGTGGAAAACTCGCGTGAAAGCAATTTGAATCTGTGATGAATGGGATATTGTTAAGCGCCTCGCTATGCATCTTACGTTTGACTCTCGCAGTAATGAGTTTCCCAGGCAGGGATACCCGGGATCAAGGGATACGATTCTTTCTTCCGAGTATTTTGCTTCACTGAATCATTAGATGTACTCTGTAAGTAGTCTCGCAACGAGTGTCAGTTATTTTTACGATTCCTCTTCCTACGATTTTCTCATAGACTGCGCGTTCTCGCGTAAACTGCTATTCCTTCGAAGTGTTCTCTGTTTTATCGGATTTTCCGACGTAGCCTGCAACTTGTCTCAAAACGGGCGTGAATCATAATTTCAGATTTCCTCGTTCGGCGTGCTCGGAATTTCCTTCGTTACCATTTTCGAGTAATTAAGAACTTTGTCTGGTCTTAAAGTTTGTAACTTTTATCTAAAATCCGCGTTCATGACGGCGCAATTAAACGTTATCAATCATGTTATTAATAATTTATGACGAGATTGAAGAAGGTTTCGAAGAGGCTTATCAGTAGAATCAGAACGGGGCGAGCTGTTCGTTCGAGTATCTGCGTTTTGATTCGTGCGTTCGAAAAATTTGCGCGAAAACTCGTTAGGGGGAGATCTGCTGTTCGACGAGTATCTGTGCGTGGTCCTAGATTTCAGAGCGCGGGAGAACGTTATCTGCGCGACGACCGGCAACCATATTTCAAAGAGATAGCTTCGCAAACGCAACAAGTTGCTCCAAATGCATGTAATAGACGGTATCTTAACGCGGAGGAACTGACACAGTGATTAATCATTAAGATTGCGTGTGACAAGTGATAAATGTAAGCAAGGGAATACAGTTGCAATATATAACGCGAAAAGTGACAAACGTAATGGGTGTTCGAATTCCACATTATCTTTCGTAATCCGAAAAAAAGGAGAAGAGAAAAATAGAGGATGTCCAGTGAATCATTGCCTCTTACAGTTTCGATGATGTCTTTTCAGGTATTTAAATGTAGCGGACTCGATAAGAACCCATTGCCATTAAATGGCACCGTGGTGGCATTACTAAACCTTTCCAAACAGAAGATTCGTGAAACTTGCTATCTCAACATACCTCGTGGACTTTCGAGGTATCAGCGCCCAATATTCGGTAAAAATAAAACGTTCGTTAAATAAATAAGGATCCTTTCCAACGTACCATTCAAATTATAAAAATAAATCAAAGCTTCTGACAATTTCCTAAAATATTGGCTGCAGCGCATTACCAATTTTGATATTTATATTTCTTCGTTAAAAAAATAAGATTTACCGATTGTTTCACGAATTATTTCATGTCGAAGAATATTGTCTCGGTGTGCAGATAATTCGAGTTATCTTCGTGTATAAGCATTAAGCTCCCCACTGTATCACCACGTACAATGATTTCGATATCGATACGCGAGCATTCGTGCACTTACCTCACTGTCGATCTTCTTGAACTCCGGGTCGTCTTCGTCCACCTCAAAGTACAGCTCCGTGGACGTCACCGAGATAATGCCAACAGCCACGATACCGGGTGCGATCAATTTCCCTTTCGTGCTGAAGTTCACCGGGCCTGTCGGAATAGAGTCTCGGTGTAGCTCTACACGTATATACGCGCGCACAGGTGTTACGTTATTTAAGCGATAGAAGGCACAACGTTCCGCTCGCACATGCAAGGAACGGAAGATCTAACCTGTCAGATCGTTATCGAAGTCTCTGTCGTCCGATAACAGGTCACTGTCGTCCATCAGATCCGCCGACTGCAGTTGCTGCTGATGTGCACGCGAGGCTGCGAGATGCGCGTGAAACTCTTCGCGAGCTTGCAGAATCGCATCCTCGGGTGCACCGTGTTCGAGAGCCGCCTTCAGTGTAGCTTCGGGATGGCTCGAGCCTAGTGGATTGTGCACGAAACGCTTACGTCTACGTGCATCATCCTCCCAAGCATCCAGCTTCCAGTATTCGGTCAACCTGCGTCCAATTATATTTCATCTCTCAGTATACCAAGTGACACTATGCAGATATAAGTATTCAAAATTCCTTCTAGTCTCGAACGATTCGATCCTAAGAGGCAAACAAGGTCTACGGAGTAATTGATTATTCGCTATTCAGAGATGTAGAGCATTTTCCAGGTAATTATAGATCAGCTAACTACGCGCTTAAGGTACGTAGACCCAATTAAAGGATCCAACGCTGGTTATGCATATACACCTATTAGATCATCTTCATTATACCACGGAATAATGTTATCGGCACAGGAAACGATAAATAACGCTTATGGGGTGATTCCATTATCCATAAATTTACATTTAATGAACGACTGGCAAGTAAACAATGACTAAATGGAATGTAATGAATTCTCAGCATCCTAGGGAGGACAAAGACGACTTACTTTGCAGCCATTGGATCCATGTATCCCCATGCGCCATGCTTGTTGGACAGGATATTACGGATCTTCTCCAATAATCTACTGGCAATAACATTGTCCCGTCTTCGCGCGGCCGTGATCAGATGGTCGCACATCCGCTCCTCTTCTCGACGCTCCAGTAGCGTTTGCGCGCACTGAGACTGTGACAACAATTTTTCCATCACTATCCACGAATCGTCACGTGTTCGACTCGCGACAACGAGTACGATTTATCCGAATATACTATGAGGAAACGCGCAAGTGATACCTCGAAGTTTGCGTGCCTCTTCACGTTCGTCGCCCTCACACGGTCCACTATATGGTCAGCCTCGTTGGCCACTCGGACTAAATGTTCCTTCATCGCGTGAGACATTAACCTGCGTAACATAAACGTGAACTTTTACGATAGACGTTACTGGAACCAGCTGTTCAGCCGCGGCTTAACTGCACGCGCTATAACTCTGTCGTTCTAACGATCATCGTAACGAGCCCTTCTTACCTTCCCTCGTTAATGAGCTCGATGAAAGCCAGGCCCGCGTGCTTCTGCAACGAGTTCTGCCATTCTTGGGAACAAAGTAGCATCACCAGCTCAACCACGGAATTGCTGTTTTTGAAGGTGGTCAGGCCTAGAATGGAATAGAGGGGGTCACTGAGAAAACGGCGGGAAAAAAGGATTAAAATACGGAGGAAGAAAAATTAGAATATAGGAAAGTTGCCGTGCAGAGAGAGCGACAAGATTCGAAACGATGGTTATGGATGCGAAAAAGAAGTTGCGGTTTGAAATTCAGTTGTAAAATACGCGGGGCGAACCCCGAGCGGCGGGACACGAGGCAGACGGGCAAGAAAGAAATAGAAAAGGCATAGACGGCCAGGTGATTTATAAACGACGGTGAATGTATAGCTTCGGGCGTTGTTTAAAAATAAAAGTGCATCGATACGTGGCGAGGCCGTCATGCACGACGTTCCACGAATATAAAATCCCCGCGAAGTGCCACGGACTGTGGCGCGTCACGTGAATACAAATGCCCGACGATTGTACCGGAATACGCGTTCCATCTTTCTAAGCGAAACCATAAACTGACTAATTTGAATACATTCACCGCAGATGAGCCGAGACAGATAAAACGAGAAATGGATATACGCGCTGTGTTCCGTCGCGGAACAAAGGTATTTGATCCGCTTTTGTTTTATGGATACATTAAGAACGAGCCGTTAGATTATTTACACCATGATGAATTAATAGTAACTCAAAGTTCAGCGCCATCTGCAATTCCCATGTTCTATGCGAAAGAACACACAAAGTTCCCAATATATTGCCTGAATAATGTATATATTTATGTATTACTTATGTTATCATGATTATAAACCTCTCGACTTAACATAAAGACAAAAATCGTAACAGCAATTTTTATGGCTAATAGAAATAGAAGCTATTGTTCCATTCCTTTAAATTTTAAGACGATTTTAGACAATTTCCGAATCAAAGTCGGTGAATGACTCGATGTATGTCAAAGATTCTCCCCTTCGTATCAAATTTCGCAATGACATCCGACCAATTACTTTTAACTATTAACTATAGATCCAGAAATGCACCGTATCTTTCGGAATGTAACGAGCATAGCACGTGGTCGCGAACGTGACTGCCAGAACAAGTGACAACCTTGTTGCTAATAGAAGCAAGGCAACTCAAGGGATAACTGTGTATACACCGAGCGTATAAGTCGATCTGTATTTACCTTCCATTAGCAATTCCTGTCCATGCGAGCCGATGAGGGTTTTCGAGAGGAACGGCGCGAAGTCCACCATGATCTCGCGCAGAAGTGGGCATACGGAGCCCAGCGCCATTTCCAGCTTCTGCGTGAGCGACGCCTCGCGCGAGGGTGTCGAGACTGGCAAATGATCGACAAGGCCCTTGATCGGTAACTGGTCCGGCCGTGGCGACGCGGAAGTCATCACTAATCTGTCCGAGACTCGAACCACCGATATTTCGCCGGATGGTTTCTCGCCACGTTCCGCGTTACCCAGCATCCCCTGCTCTAGCACGTTGCCTTCGCTGTCTTGGATGTCACCTGTGCGACGGATAAAGAAGGAATATGAAGTGATATAGAAAATTAAGAATCGTTTTATATTTAGAATAAAATAATCCGCAATAAAATCGTAAAACTGAATTTCAATAGTGGTTAGTATTTGGCGGGATTATGTATGAAACGCACCTCGGAGAAATTTGATTTGTTAGCTTCTGATAACTATCATAGTTAGTTATATCGGAATACTTATTAACACTAACCATAGACCACAGTCTTAATAACTATTTTTAAATTTCTATCGACGTGAGTTCAATTAATTGAACCATCATCCCTCGAAGATGGAAACCCATCCTCGAAAATAAAATTTCAATTTCGAAACTGACAGAGATATGTAAACGTTATCCGTGATTCATCCAGTATTAAGAGTTCAAAATGAATAGAAAAAGATATTAAACGTGCAGGCGAAAGTACGAGTCTTGAATTTTCTAAGCTGGAGAAAGGGAAAAATGGTATCGCTAGATTGGAATCTGGAACCGAATCTTCTGAGAAAACTGTCGCTACACAGGTAGTTTATAGATCTTTATCTTTATTCTTAACAGTTGAACGGAGTTCCAGAATGGAATTCAGTTACCTAGGATCCGAGATAATAGGAAAACGAAACAAAAGAATACAAATGGAAAGAAAGGATAAAATTGGACGTTTGGCGAACATTACTGGTCCAGGATTTAAACATGGGTCCTTTATCGCCAAATCAAATTATCTCGAGGTTCAAAGTATTTAAAAACTACACAGATTTCTCATTTTACCTATTTAAATAAAGGAAAATGGTCACGCATAAAACTCTAAACCGAAACTAATGGGTGAAGCAAATGGAAGCTAGAGATTCTAAAGAACCACTGATTTCAGGATTTAGATTGAAATTAGACATTTGCTAAATAGATAGTATACAAATTTTTAACTGTAATCTTAATGCTACGAAATAACCATTATTTGAATCGAATAAAAATATTAGAGTTGAAACTAGTAAAAAGATACGAAGCCAAAAATAAAAGTACAAATATAAATTTCATTTTTGAAGACTATGTGTCACACATAATATTAAATTATTAACATTAATTTCTCCACAAAATATTTACTTGGTTTCTTTAATCGAAGAAACTCTGAAACGAGTCATTTTGACTGATCTGGTAGTCTTATTATTAATTTAAAGTTCACAAGTCAGACATCTAAATTGTAATGATCTAAAATTAATAAAGAAAGAAAGAAAGAAAAAAGAAAATGAAGAAAATTTTTTAGTTGTAACAGCATTTGTCCGACAGTGTTCCATCGGCAAATCTGCTTCTTGTTTCCAACACTTACCGCGAGAGTGCGCCATGTTGTGAACGTTTCGCGGATCTTCCCTCTGGTTCGTCATCGGGATCGTGTCTCCGTCCTCGTTCAAATTCACGTCGGTCCAAGCCTCTTCGGAGGAGTTATGTTTGTTCTCATTGTCCGTTGCGATTTCAGATGGACTGGCATCAGCCGTGATATTGCTACGATGCACCGTTTCTTCGCTGGAGTCGTTGCTCTAGAAGGTTCAAAACTGAGATCTCTCTGTGTTCACAGAATCGCGAGTCTGCAGAATCATGAGTACATTATACACGCTTAAAGAAAACGGAAGAAATTAATCGGTTATAACACGACCATATGTATATTTAACTTGTTCAAACATCCAAATGTTCTTTCATCCGATCGATGTGCGTAGATCGAGAAATCGATATTTCTGAAAATTGGTCGTCAAAGAAGTATACTCAACAACTGTACTTTCAATCGAAATTTAACCAACACTACGACTACTTTGCTACTTGATACTGAATACTGTATATCTCTAACGGAAGCCTAGCTTCCGTTGAACACACTATTTAATCGTAAATATCTATATATTCAATCGTATGAACGTTTACTTGAGAATAGAATCAAACGGTTATACTCTGCGATCGAGTCTCGCGTGCTATGCATTTACTCGACGACATGCAGTTAATCGTAACAACACTAATACGCAGTCATCTAATATACGTGTAAACAAGGAACAAAAGCTTCCTAGATTCTCAAGCTAACGAACGTAATATCGTCAGCTTCGGTCGATCACGTCCGTGAACCGTAGGTAACGAAAATACAGCTACTGTATCAGATTATACGGCGGTTAGGCCACCGGACTCAAATACGAATCGACCTTCTTCGCGCACTATCGACTAACTTCACTGCGTACCCGTCGAATGGGCATTCGTTCGTTGCTGCGTCTCGTCCTGCTCTCGACGGTTGGAGAAAAAAAAAATAAACAAATCATTTCAACACGAACGTATCGTCGTTCACGTGGAAAGTTCAAAACAGCTCTTTCGAACCCTCTCGAGACGTTTTCTCTGTTTGCAACAGTTTGTTTTCGATTTAGAATCATTCTGTTCCGAGTCCGAACTCAAAGTCAAACTTTTACCTGGACATTTCGTGGCAGTGGTTCAGTGGGTCTTGTCGTAGAGCCAAGCGTTGGTTCTGACGAGGTGTAATCCTCGAGGATTGTCCGTGGCCGAGGTACACCACTGTGACCTCCCTTCAGAACCAGTAGTTAGTACGCATAGCAATGCAAGCAGAGGAAGTTAACGTTGAGAAAAATTAAAGAGTAAAAGTGTCGCATGCTCGGAAGAATTACAGATCATAGAGACAAGATACAAATACGGATCCTGCATTGGCGGACCACGAGGATCTAACGTATACACGTTCGACTAGGGGCTTTTTAGGTTATGGCACTCCTCGTGGCGCTCACGTCGCAATCTTTGACAGATTATCGAGTGAACTTCACGTGCGAGAACGGAACTGAGTGTGATTAATCGTTATCGTTACTCTCGTACTACATACAAGTGAGTGCAATAGAACACTGGTAAATATATCACTATAGGTAAACACTACGTGCTGGAGATTACTGAGACAGTTACGTTCTTAGGGTGAAAGAATAACATTGGGATGGAGCTAACGTGTTGACTACAGGGGTATAAGTAAACTACTTCTAGGGAGGAATTTTGAGATCGAAACTGTGACATCGAATGTGTATATATATTCGTACCTTCGAGGTCTGTTTTATTCTTTACGTTTTCGTCAAAGATCTACTATTCGTAATTCGACTATCAATACTCGGGATGCATGCAGTTCGTTGGTTGAACGGGTCAGAGAGAGAGATTTGAAACAGAGACACGTAGAATTTAGGTTTGTCAAGTATCTACGGTAGAAGAATCGGAAAATGACAGTTGAATAGACGAATGCAAAGCGCATCGCGTGGGCAGAGAGTGCCAATTCCATCGTAACAGTAGATCGTGCGTGACAAGAAAGGTGCAAGAGTCATGTCGCCATCAAGATGTCAAATATCGTAGGTAATATATATATATATATGTATATACGTATGACACAATGTATATGTACTATATCAAGATCACGATTGCGAAACGATCATTACATCCTCTTATAATCGTAATTCAGTGGACACACAACGAAACACGACTGTATCTTTTCAAAGGCATGCAATCTCAAGTAAAGTTGTCACAGATCTTCTCGAGCATCGACGAGTTTCGTATATACATGTACCGAGATAGTGACGAATGAAAACATTCGCTGTTCACGTACGAGTAGTTTCGCGAACAGCGTTAAGGTTAGATCCGCATAACCTCACTTTCTTTTCTTTTTACCTGAGGACAACGGTTCGATTAATCCCGACGTACAGATCTTTCGTACGGGTAGATCTTTTACGTGGCACGTTTCATTTGAAAACGAAGTATATTTCTTATGGAATGAACGGGAATGTCTCATGATCACTTACCTTTGTCGATGGAGGTCCGGACGACGTGACGTCGTGATCCGCCAGAATCGACGAGTTGTTCTCGTCGACTATTATCACCTCGTATTCGCCGTCATCTTGGGAGCCAGCCTGGCTCATGATACCTCCGCTTCCTGGGAACATATTTTGTCATTGTGAGGACGCGACCTTGAAAATAACTCGGTACTTTGTCTTGCAAAGCAGGCTGACATGAACGATCATGCGATCGATGTTTTCACCCAATTTTCCACTCGGTGAACAAATTTTTATTTCTACCTTACTTCGTCAATTTTCCCGTTGCATATTTTCACGTTACCGCGAATTTCTCCGAATTATTAACGTCGATCGCATTTCACGGGAGAGGAAATGCATTATAGTGCAGGAATTCAAAACGGAAAGGAACAAAAAGAAGCGTAATCAGGAATGTAATCAAAGCATTCAAACTTGTTCGACTATTCGAGGGAGGAGAAAATTTATGAATTATCATATTATTAAATATACAATTAATAATAATTGAACATTGGGAATTAGATAATTTGCGTGACACGAAATTTCATTCTGTTTCCTCCTTCCTCGAAGCGTATTCGTGAGTAAAATAATATTCGATAATAAACGCAAGAAAATTGTTGCAAATGTCTCAAAGCCAGCGAATATTTCGAGGCTCACTAGGGACTCTTTTCGTCGGAGACTGTAATAACGTTCTCAAGAAAAGTGTATAATTCTGAGTAGAGCACATTGGTCAGGTTTCCAACTAGCAAAATAATAATCCGGAACGTGCAACTGTCATTGCTGAACAAACTTGACGTACAATCGTTCGTTAGTACGTTACACTGGAATTTATCGACAAGGACAGTCCTGCGTTCTGTGCTCATGGAGTCAAACATCGTCGCGTGAGCTTGCATCGTAAGTTACCACATCTGCAGAAGACATGCAAACTTTTCGAATACTCGCAAACGTACGCAAGTGGTGCAATTTTCATTCGCAGCTTGTGCTCCAAGCTTCAAACAGCACTGTAACGACACAATCTACCGACGTATTAATCAACGTATCTCATAATCGCGATGTCAAACGCTTGTTCATTTTCCTAGCGCAAAACAATCGATAACGCAAACCTATATAGCAACTCAAACGAATTAATCTGCACTGAAAAAAGAAAGAGAAACAAAAGAGAAAATTAAGAAATTCTATCGAAGGTTGAAGAAAGTAATCTCACTTCTGCCAAACAAAAGAGTTCATCGAACAAAGAAACCAGTACAATGCTTATGCGCGTGTATATGCGTGCACGTGTTATAACCATGTGTTGGTAAGTCAGACCTCAGGTTGGGCTCAAACTGACTAGTGAAACGGCAAACATGCAGACAGAAATATCGACACGTCAATAATATCGACAGAAGGAAAGAAATAAGAAGAAGAAGAAGAAGAAGAAGAAGAAGAAGAAGAAGAAGAAGAAGAAGAAGAATCGTGAGGTGGCATGGTAAAAGAAAAAAGAGAGGTGTCGATAGTTCGTTCGTTGGCCAGTAGTAGACGGCAAGTAAACAATTCGAGCAGGCGATATAGAAACAAACTCGGGCATTCCGTGGAACACAACGTTCGGGCAATCGAGTTACCTTGCAGACCAACACCGGAGTTTCTATGACAGAGATTTCGGGGCTGATCGATATGCTTTTGAAGCGTATGATGGTGATTGTTGTTATTGTGATGATGGTAATGATGATGACGATGATAGTTATGGTTATTCGGATGATGGTTGTAATGATTACTGTGGTGATTCGGGAGATAATAGTTGGAGGGGGGCTGGCGATTAGAGTGCCTGGCAGCCGGTAGCGGGTGCTGGTGGTGGTGCTGGTTCATGTGGTGGTTGGCATTGGCATTGGCATTCGCATTGGCGTTAGGGTGAGATCCCGGGAGGAACTGTGGGTACACGTGGTGAGACCACTGTGGAAACAGGGGCCGCCCTCCTCCACCACCATTCCCATCTGCTGAGGAACCACATTTACCACGTTACCACGATTCTCGACCGTAAGCCCTTTGTGTATTTCTGTCATGCGTTTGCTTTTATTATCCGAAAGTGTCGCAATACATTTCTCCTTCTACTGGCTTTCTCTCTGTCTCCTTGGCAAGCGTTACTCGAGCCTAGTGATTTCTACAAGAAGCTATTTCTACGATAGTTATTTATTGCTCGCGTGCAATAAAAATATTTTCCTTTGTTTTTTCAAATATTAACTGGAAGTAAATCTTTCGTTTTAACTTTATATCGCGTTAGCTTTTGGGGGGCGGGGGGTCAGCGAAGATTACTGAAGATTATTGAAGCGTCAGCTGTGTTCGAATAATAAATTTCTAGGATATGCGCGGGAGAGTTTCCGTAATAAAATAGATTTACAGGAAATTTGCTTGCATTGTATACGATTACTATTCTTTTATCCGAATGAATACAGGTTTCACAAAGCAACAAAATTTTCTACTATCTTGCGATTTCATTTGTCTTTTTCATTATTAATTGTGTTTCGAGACATCTAACTTCTACCAGTTTCCGAAATTTTCATTTCAAAACTGATTATTTTCTTCAAAAATGATTTTCTTCCTTTAATCGTGCAACGAATGGCGATACAGAGTGAAACTCAGTAAGGAATACAACATGGAATTCAGTACTTTTTCTTAGAGAACAATTAAATTATTGTTCCGTGTGAAAAAAAAAGAAAATGTAATTTAGGAGCATCACATATTTCAAAGATAACACATTATCGAAATACAACATTTAAATTAATGATACACGTCATTAAACATTCAATTATTTGTAAAGGAACATATAACAGATGTAGTTTAAGTATGTTATCTTGTTTCATTTTCCATCGTGGTCAACTTCCTTTGAATTCGTTTTATGTAAATAAATTTTTTATCTTATAATATAAAATAATAGTAACACTTAAAAAATATATCTAAACCGAACAAAAAAGTGCTAATGCATTCGACAGACATCAAAACTCTCACTGTCAGATACATAGAAAAATAGTTCATACAGTGCAATTAGACATGCGCTCTATTTAGTGTAATGTGCTATTCGATTTGCCGCTACACAATTAAAGTGCATAGTGTTCCGCAGCAGCTACATATTTGCATATATTTGTGTTACTCGTAAGATTATCATTTATTATTCTAATAGTTGAATTGTCTCATTTTCACTAAAATGTTGTGTATGTTAAGATCGTTATGAATTCCATAATTTACTTTACAGTAATAAATAAATTTATTAGAGAGTTAATACTAATTTTCTCATGTACCACTTTATGCCTTATGTTCTTTTCAATTTAAGTTACATTACGATAACAATATTGTTTCTTTGGAAATGTATAAAAATCATGAGTAACATGCTCATGTAATTGTCAATAACAATCATGCTATAATGTTATGTCACATTTATAGTACAGGGAAAAATAAATTTCTTTATTCGATATATGTAAGTACGACAATGAAAAAGTGTGGTTATGCATATCTGACATGTAAGAGTTTTGAAGTAATAATTTGGTACTATCAATTTTTTTTTAAAACAAACAATAGTATTCCTTGTGTAAAATTTGTTACAGCTAGCATATATATGTTTGAAATTAAACATGCATATATTAATGTCAATATTAATTTCAACGATCTTTATACATATATATATCAGTAATATTTCTTTCAAAAATGAAATGACCCTGCAAATGAGGGTATCTATAATCACCTCCATGACTCGTAGTTACTAGATTATTTGCTGTGTAATATATTACATAAAGTGTTAAGCATTTTAACATTCAGATTAATTAAATCCTACGACAAAGATCATGTAACTTTTTATTTAAGGAAATGCTCCTGTATGAAAAAATATCGTAGAACTATTTGCTTCTTTCGCATTAAATAGTTATGTGCTTGATTATTTGTATTAATTAGGTTTCGTCGGATCTTGTATCAGTTTATTGTAAGAAATTATTTAACATAATAATGATGTATATATCTTACCTGAAGGGCTACCTGGTCTTAAACTAGCACCATTAGTCTGTATTGTTTGAACTGGACTTGGTGGACGTTGTGATATTGGTGGTTCCAATATATCACGGTACTTTGATACCATTAGTACAGAGATGAAGTAAACTATAGCGAGGGACAGAAACTGGGCCTGCTTGGTTTCCTCCTGAAATACACAGAGAGGAGATACACTCCGGATTAGTAATAACGTAGTATTAGTAATAATGCATTAATTGCCATTAATAAGGGTAAAAATAGTGGTAATAATTATAGTAGAAGTAATAATTGTATTAATAACTATGTATACTTACAACATCTCTGTATATCACAGCTCTTAAACGATTCACATCCATGTCTTGTAGTAATTTCTCAGGATCTTTTACAGGACTTAATTGATGTGCCAGATTATCCACTATGTTCTACAAAAATAGAAATCATATTTTATTTCACCATCAATAAATGATGTTAATGATCGCTGTGAACTCTATTCTCTATACGATACAGCTTTGGATAAGTATATACGATATATGACTGGTCGATATTGATGACAATAACACATTTCTCTATATAAATTAAGTTCGATCAAATGAGACATACCTTGGGTGATGTTTGAGCTCCTCGTATAAGAGACTGTATGTGCTGTGATTTATTACTAGAACCAATCTGCCGACCTAACATGCTGTACGATCTGCCACGTTCTTTACACTCTAAGCAGTTTCTAACGGCACATGTACAGACCTATAGAAGCATTTCATCAGATGAATATAACAAAAAATATAGTGTACACATACATGTTGAAGTTCTATATTGTACGTATACAGGAACTAAAAATATTACAGCTATTTAATACACTGCTGATTTAAAAACTATTTCTATTGATAAGAATTTGCTTGTAGTCTACGATAGTGTCAAGGTGTGTGGTCTTTTTATCTTTTCTTATATAAAATACACGACTGTCTAGTACATTAAATATTGGAGATTCTACATTTAAGAATTGAAAAGAATTATTAAATCCTTATTACAGTAATTTTATTCTTATTCTGTATCAATACATGTGATGCAGTAATTTTCTTTTTGCACAAAATTAATTTTCTATATACAAATCTTTATATATCTTGTTTATGTACTATGAAACTATGAAACACCAACATATGTATACGTACCAAAAAAATTAATATAAGGCACATTCTATATGATTACTCTATTATAATCCTAATGTAGGTAAACTTCGTCTTCTATATATATGTAAGAAAAATAAAAGTCAATAATGAAAATCATTTATCAAACCTTTATTAAAAGTCTATGAAAAATTCTAAAAGACCGAGTCCACCTATTGGTGTTTGTGTATATAATCTTGTGATAAATTTCATTTGAATACTTATTAGAACAGTGAATCTAATTAACGTGTATCACAAACATTTAATATGTTTTTTCCAGCAACCTTATTCCATATTGAAAAGATCAATTTAATTAGCTATGTCATAAAGACAAGGTTCCTATGAAATTGGAATTATATGGTGATGTAATAGTGGTGTATCTGTTTGAGAAATTAAAGTACTACGTGGACGATGATACAAACCAGTCGTAAACACTGCCTTAGAATACTGCCATTAGACATAACCTTCTCAGCCTCCACGTTACCAAAATTTAAAGACGTGGCGAAGATAAGTACATCGGCCATGTTGACTAGTCTTTGCAGAAAAGAAACTGCTACATCAATTGGCATCCCCTGAGTTGGTTCAATTACATCCAATTCGCTCTATGAATATCCAAGCACGAATTAAAGAGAGAATCCGAGAAAAGGAACCTTCACCCGGATATGCTGTTTTATGTAAAATCAGAAAAGGATTTGGAAAAAGTGTGTACATACATTGGGTGAGGTCGCCGATGCTAGAAGCGGTAACAACCCTCCGCAGGCAATTATAAGATTGTCAGCCAGTTGTGAAATCAGGTGAACGGTGTTAAGAACAAAAATTATGTTTTCACTGCTGTTTACAAAGTCTAATACCGACTTCGTCGAATGGCTGGAACATAATCACAACAATATCGTATAACTATTAATCGTACCATAAATTTATCAGCATAACGTGTATTGCTAGTGTACCTTCTCCAAACTTGAATGTCTGTTTCTAATGAAAAGAGAACATCCGAGAGTAACCTTTGATGTATGTAAGACCATTTGAAGTCTGGCATTGTGAAAGGAGGACGAGTCGGCCCTGGACTAAACATTGGTCTTGTAGAAGGATTACCTTGTTTCGATCGTTTCGATTCTACAATAACCAAATGATTTAATGCGATATATCGGGTATACGAATGAAATAGCTAGACACGAGAAACGGATAAGAAAATAGAGACAAAATGCAAATACCTACCGAAATGATTGGGGTCCACTTGCGTGAACGTTGAGGCACTCCTTGGTCGTTTCTGAGGTGACGATGTTTTCCGCAAGGGTACAGGTAAAGAAGGAGGTTTATTACTGTTACTGTTTACATTATCGTCGGTGGCTGTCTCGGATGATACAGCTGGCAAGCTGAATCTGCGATGAGCATCTACGTGATCTGGAGTTAAGTCATTCAATAATGAATTATCCCTCGTAACCACTGTAGAACTAACGATTTGAGGCACACCGTCGGGTATATTTTTATTTGCATCACAGACCGTAGATATTGTTGGAATTTGCTGTTTAGGATTTGGCACTTGCGTCACGTTATCTACAGAACTTTGAATATCGCTATTACTACAAACACTATCTGTTACTTCTACCTCGTTTTCAGTTCCCACTGGAATGTCTGACTGATTATCACTTACGTTAGTACAAATAGTGGACGGCTCCCTTGAATGTTTTTCAGTTACCTTCTCGTCGTTATCATTAATAACAGCACTTTTGTCCTCTGTTACAGAGTCCACGGCGCATCTGTCACTACTTAACTCACTAGTCACTACTGTTTCCACTTTCTTGTCTTCTACATCTACCTTCTTTTTACCAGTTTCGATACTTTCTATTACGCTAGTTGAGCAATTGGAATTTTTTACGGTTTCCTCGACATCGTTTCCGTTATTTTCAACGTCAACGTTCGTTTCCTCCGTGTTTTCGGTGTTCTCAGTCACACTGTCTTCGACCTTATCTGCCTCCTTCGGCTTTATGTCGCCTATATTATCTTGGTTCTCTGTCGGTGTTAAGTACGCCTCTGAGGTGTCGCTGTCGATCACTTCTCGGTCGTTCTCCAATTGCAGCTTCTCGATGTCTTTGATGGTCAATGGTTCTGGTGTCTCGCTAGAGAAAACAGGTGACACAGCTTCCGAGTCAACTTGTTCCGTTGAAACGACGATGTCCGTTGACGTCGTGTCCGTTTTCTCGTCGTTTGTCTGTTTCGATTTTTCGGAAACTTCCGTAGTGTCAGAAGGAACCTCATCATTCGGAGCAATATCCTTCACCTTTGATTTTTCTTTACGCGTCTCTTCGTCCTTCTTCGCGCAAGCTTCAGCCTCGCTTTCAGCATCAACCTCAACTTCGGCTTCAGCTTCGACTTCAACCTCGATTTCAGTTTCAGCTTCGGCTTCGGTTTCGGCTTCGGTTTCAGCCTCAGCTTCGGTTTCCGCTTCAGCTTCGGCTTCGACTTCAGTTTCAGCTTCGACTTCAGCTTCGACCTCGGCTTCGCATTCAGCTTCGCCTTCTGCTTCGGCTTCGGCTTCAGTTTCGGCTTCGGCTTCCGCTTCAGCTCCGGCATCGGCGCAAATTTCAAGTTCAGTTTCATTCCCTGACTTCTGTACGTTAGAAGTAACAGTATCACACGCGTCTGAGTTGTTTTTAGACGTTGATACGGTCTCGTTAGACTTCTCAATTTCTTCCTGCTTAGTCTGTACGCTTTGCTCCGTTTGTTCAGCCAAGGGCGATTGGGAGACCGTTTCGTTTTGTGATTTCTGTTCGGAGGGTTCATCATCTTTCTTTAGAACTTCCTGTACCGCCATCGAATCTGGACTAGAACCTTCGATCTTGTGAACTTCGCTGTAGAAGTCACTGGAGCTCTCTATCGATATCGCTTCGCTGGTTTCCTGGGTCGTTGGAATGGAGATCGCTTCGCTATTCCCTTCTTCCAGGATCGTTGGTGTGTCCGTGTGAATTTCTCGCGCTGTTGTCGGTGTTTCTGGTTTGTCACTTAATCTGGAGTCCAGGGATATCGCTTCACTCGACTGCGCGGTATCTAAAGTCTCGCTATGCGACTTCACGATCGCTGGGCTGCCATCACTCTCGGTATTGTCTATCGAGTTCAAATCGCAACTGCAGGACTCTTCCAACCGGTCGTTGTTCTCGGTCGCATCGAACTCCTGGAAATGCACATCCTAAAATAGTATGGCTAAAACTGCAGTGTCTGGAGATTACTTTCATCGTATCCACGTTTATTACAAAACTGGCGACATCCATCAATGTCAGTGATGTACATATTGACATTAAAAACCTGCTACATTATATTCTAGTTAAATGTTCAAGTTCCCAGGAAACAGCAGGATAAAATATCCTTATGCATCCAATTTCTTAATCTTTTCTCTTAATCTTAATTCATCTGATAATTCTCTATCTCTAACCATTTCCCTTTTCTTGGATTCTAGAATTTCTCAACATAAATTTATTTTCTACATGGAACCTGCTACAGAGCTTAATTCCCTAACTTTATATCCAACCTTATAATTCCTTTCTATGTGTTGTACTTCGTGATTCTGTTGATTGCCCCAGGATGATGGTTTGTTATACCCATTATTCCCTGAATGCTGCTGATCCCATCCGGAGATAGTGCTGATTGGCCTTTGCCGTCTTAACTCGGGATCCGTGATGTTATCTGAGCGTTGCTTCTCGTAATGCTCGTACATTTGAGCGAACTGAAGCTTGAATTCCTCATAGGATACCTGGAACAGATAAGACTCGCGTGAACGTCGACTGCCTTTAATTTCGCGTTCGTTCTTCGATATTTACCTTGGAGTGCACGATGGACAGGGTATCTATCCACACACGCCATCCACCGCACTCGTATCTCATAGCATGATGCAGAAGCATGCGAAACAACGAGTACACCATATCCGAGATCTTCTGTTCTTCCGTGTTCTTTGGGTGAATATAGGCCATGGCTATTAACCATTCCTGCCATATAGACATCTGTAGAATAATTCGTCGATTTTCTCGATTGTTGTTGCACAAAAACGTCATATCCGAGAGGAACAGCTTCTTCACTTCTAACAATTGCTCCGTTTGCTTTGATTGTCGAATCAACGTTGCTACTACGTTTGAAATCACTGTGGAAATACACAAATATATATGTAATCGTTAATACCGTATCACGTGTTTCATGAAAGGATTAACAAATTGATTTTATCTTACTCGGATTTTCTAAACAATAATGGGACTCCGGTTCAGGATGCCTGGCATAAAGAATCTGTTGACTAATATGTTCTGTCATGATCTGAAAAGATGTTTCAGATTAGCGAACCAATTAAACGATATTACTACAAATGTGAAGTTTCTTTTCATTTACCTCGTATAAAACATTATAAGTTGGTAGTGACAATGTGTCCTCGTTCAGCAGTAATCTTTCAGCTAGTAACGTGTACAGGTTGTAGGGGTCCATAACGTCTCCTTTCCGTCTGTAGTGCAAACAATTCACAGTTTATATCGACAAAATATTCGAGTTAACGTTTAATATCGGATTACGTACTTGGGTGTACTGCGACTTAAAAAGAATCCTAATAACTTTAACGCTTGTAAACGTATCAGTTGGCTTTCGGCTGCCAACAGCTTGAAAACCGTGGTGACGCCATGCTTGGCATCGAAAGCAGGCACCATCGACGACGGGTGCTCTGACATTAAAGATATAAGCATTTGCAAAACGTCGTGTAAATTCTCGTCCTGTAAAGGGACACAGATCCAATTATCATCGATTCTTCATCAGCTTCGTATAGTTATCAATGTCGAGAAAAGTACCTCGTGTATTGTCGTTAGGTAATTCAATATACTTTGCAGCTCGTCGTCCTTCACTCCATGCCCGATCATGATCAATTGTTTCAGAAATAACAAAATATAAGAACGTATTGTCAATATATCCTTCTGCTGGGGCCGCGGTCCATCTGCAACCAGTTAGAACCATGTGGAACCTCCATTGACCAATCGAATATGCGTATACGAGCTTGTTAGCCATTTATAGCTACTCACCAAGTCCTTTGGGCGTGATTCCACTCTTAGCTCGAGGATTGACAACCCAATAGTAGTACTTAAGCGTGTGCACCGTTTGTAATACTGTGGAGACTCTCCTTACATTAGAATATATTTGCGTGTCACTGAGGAACTCTGTGGCCAAGTACGAATAAAGCCTGGTTTGCACCGGCGCCGGTGTATATATCCACAGAGCGGGATTAAAAAGGACGTGGTCCAATAGCTGCCATGTTAGGAATGAAAAGTAAAACAACTACATCACCATGGATCTGCCTGTTCTTCGGACACACCAATCTAGCCGACTTTTATGTGTTCCTATGTGGTCTTTTATCCCTGCTTCTCGAGTACGTATCCCTCGTTTCATGGATACTCGTTGGAAATAAAATAATCGTACCAGTTGGCTATCTCGTACGAGCGTCGTCTCGTTAGAGGGTATTCAGGGTAGGAACTTAATATGTAGACTGTGCAAGGGGGTGTATATCGTAAGACGGGAAGCACACAGGGAAGAACTTAAAATAAGAAAGGAAGAAAGAGTGACATAGTGTGCCGATAAATTCATCGTAAGTTTACGACAGTTATCACAAAGAAACGTAGATTGAGGAAAGTAGAGTGGATAGTCCATGTCGAACATTCATGCACCGGAAAATCAATACTCAGAGTTTGGTAGCTTCGGAGGTAATATTGAGACAAATTTGGAAAGTCACACAGAAAATACAGAATCTTAAATTTCCTTTTCGATATTTCCCGATCCAAAATTATATATATATATATATACACATACACCTGTATATGTATATAATTTTCAGGAAACACTGATACAACGATTTTCCTTTCTTTCATGATCTAGCTATTCACCGCGAGAAAAGAATGTCCCAATATTTAACTGTGCGCATAGAAATGAAAATAATGAAAATAGCTTTCTTGAAGGCGATAGGCATCCTCGACAGAGTACGGAAGCGAAGTATCAGAGGTTGGAACAAAGGACAGTATTGTCATAAGTACGTTCTCGTGTAGCACCGTTTGGAACAGAAACTCAGACAGATCGGGCACAGCAAAGAGAATAATCTTTCTTCAGCGTTGCAAGAAACAATAAAAGTAGAGGTTCTCGTATGGAAGCAATTTAGTGTGAACAAAAATATTTTGCGTAGCCATATTATGAAATCAGGAAGCCTAAAAGTCGGTAGATTGCATGCGATCCAAAGATTCGAGTAGCATAATGTCGTTTCACGAGGAAAGTATAATAGTTCATGCTTGAAATCGTGATACATCGTAAACGGATCAAACCGACAAACGAAAATATACACATACATTAGAAGTAGCATATAACATACAAGAGCATCTACGAGCAGTCTTTGTCGTACAAGCTATTTGCAACAGGTATCGTATGGAATAGGTGTAATAGATACAGAGTAAAATATAATATTGTACAACTGCGCTTCATAATCCTTTCGTTCATGCTATTGTATATCGTGGGTGAAACGAAAATAGGAGAATGGACGATAGAGGGGTTGTGAATGCATCATAACATACGAAGTTTTCTCGGGAACTCGCTAGGATGTGTCAACCATGATCTTGCTAGGGGGTTTAAACATAAACTATCGTTGGAGATACAAACCCTAATAAATGAACGAGGTTTTCTAATTATGCGATTAACCGTGGTCTCGTACAGGTTGTCGGTATGCTTGAGTACTTTGATTATGTTGAAACTCACATTGAACTCCTAAGATATGCTAATTAAAATAATTCATCGTGCAGAATTTGGTGTCGTTTAAAAAATTGTCAAATATCGATGATACCTCGATGAATTATCTTAATTAGCTTGATACATGATACGCATTTACGCAGTAGAGATACGTTATTTATTTTCTACTAGTTTCGTGCAAACTAAGCTCTCCCATACGTATTTTCATAAATCTACGTCGACTCAACCGAACTCCGATCTCTAACTCTCATCCAAGGATACTTATAACTTAACACTAAATACGCTTAACGCCAATTTTAACCTTAATCCGTACGTGAACTAAACTAATGACTAAATCGATACCTGTTTCAGTAACAAGTCGCTGTTCACGCTGAGACACGTGACCAGGTGCTTCGTGAGATCCAAAAAGGACGTGAGGACTTCCGTTGTAAGGTGGTCTCTGCTTGCTCTCTGCAGCATATAGCTGATTACCAGAAAGCCACGGTTTTGTACCATGTGTTGTTGCACGGTTTCCGAACTTTCCACGAGATCGCAAATAAACCCCAACAGTTTCGAACTAAAATTCGAATTGGATCGTTACGAGGTCGTTACAATACGATTTGGACGAGGTATGAGCCGAACGTTCGTCTCACTCGTTGTTAAATGTTTTAGTATATATTTACCATAAAGTTGGATCTCGTTTAACATCGTTGGGCGCTATGCAATCGTAAGGCATATCTAGTTGCGAGAACAAAGGGAACAACACTTGAATGCCACCAATCGAGTTTAACGTGCTATGAATGGAATGCGTGATGACAGCTTTAACATCCTACAAATAGACAGCAAAAGGTTCGATCACTCGTTTTCCATATATGTACATAGTCTGTAGCTCGATGTTCTACATTCGGCTGTAAAAAAAA